CCCTTCATAGGTTGTATCTTCTCTCTGTTGTTTCCCTTGTTGTGCAGATATATTTAGTTTGATGCAATCCCACTCATCAATTTTTGCTTTTATTGCCTGTGCTTTTGGAGTCAAATCCAAAAATATCATTGTCCAGACCAATGTCAATAAGCTTTTTCTCTCTGTTTTCTGTCAGTAGTTTTACAGTTTCAGGTCTTACATATAAGTCTTTAATCCATTTCAAGTTGATTGATTTATTTTTGGTATATGGTATGAGATAAAGGTCTAATTTTATTCTTCTGCACACAGATATCCAGTTTTCCCAACCCCATTTATTTGAGGCCCTTCTTTATTGTGTGTCATTGTCACTCTGTAAATGCATGGATTTATTTCTGGGCTTTCCGGTCTATTTTGCATTGGTCTGTTTGCTTATATTCCAGTACTATACTCTTTTTATTACTGTAGCATTGCAATATATTTTGAAATTAGGGAATGTGATGTTCCAGCTTTGTTCTTGCTGTAAAGATTGCTTTGACTAGAGTCTTTTGTGGTTCCATATGAATTTTAGGATTTTCTCCCATTTCTGTGAAGAATGCCATTGCAATTTTCATAAGGATTGCATTGAATCTATAGGTCACTTTGAGTAGCATGGATATTTAACAACATTAATCTTTCTAATCGAACATGGGCTGTCTTTTTATTTATTTGCGTGTTTAAAAATTTTCTTAATCAAAGTTTTATAATTTTCAATGTACGAGTCTTTACCTCTTTTTTTAAAAAATTATTTTTCCATAAGTTATTGGGGTATAGGTGGTATTTGGTTACATGAGTAAGTTCTTTAGTAGAGATTTGTGAGAACCTGGTGCACCCATCACTGGAGCAGTATATACTGCACCATATTTGTTGTATTTTATCCTTCATTCCCTCCCACTCTTCCCCCTAAGTCCCCAAAGTCCATTGTATTATCCTTATGCCTTTGCATCCTCATAGCTTAGCTCCCACATATCAGTGAGAACATATGATGTTTGGTTTCTCATTCCTGAGTTACTTCACTTAGAATAATAGTCTCTAATCTCATCCAGGTCATTGCTAATGCTGTTAATTCATTCCTTTTTATGGCTCTGTAGTATTCCATCATATATATATATATATATATATATATATATATATATGTGTGTGTGTGTGTGTGTGTGTGTGTGTGTGTGTGTGTATGCCAGAGATTTTTTTATCCACTCATTGATTGATGGGTATTTGGGTTGGTTCCACAATTTTGCTATTGTAAATTGTGCTGCTATAAACATGTGTGTCTTTTTCGAACAGTGACTTCTTGCCTAAGTTTATTCCTAAGTATTTTATTCTTTTTGATGCTGTCGTAAATAAGATTGTTTTCTTAATTTCCTCTTTAGGTAGTTTATTGTTAGTGTGTAGAAACAACACCAATTTTCATATGTTGAATTTGTATCCTGCAACTTTATTAAATTTATTAGGTCTAACAGTTTTTTTCATCGAGTCTTTAGGATTTTCTACATATCTAATCATGTCATTTGTGAACAGAAACAATTTTACTTCATCCTTTCTGGTTTAGATGCCTTGTATTTATTTTTCTTCTCCCAATGCTCTGGTTAGGACTTCTAATACCATATTGAATAGCAGTGGTGAGATGGCACCCTTGCATTATACTAGATATTAGAGAAAAATCTTTCAGTTTCCTCCCATTGATTATGATGTTAGCTGTGGGCTTGTCACATTTGGCCTTTATTATGTTGAGGTACATTCATTATATTGTTGACAGTTTTTTGTTTGTTTTAAGACAGAATCTCACGTTGTCACCAAGGCTGGAGTGCAAGTGGCACAGTCATAGCTCACTGCAGCCTTGAACTCCTGGGCTCAGATGATCCTCCTGCCTTAACCTCCTGAGTTGCCAAGGCTACAGGCATGCACCACCATGCCTGGCCACCTTTAAATTTTTTTTTTTTTTTTTTTTTTTTGTAGAGACCGTCTTTCTTTTTTTCTGAGGCTGCTCTTGAACTGCTGGCTTCAAGTGAACCTCCCACCTTGGCCTCCTAAAATGCTGGGATTACCAGTCACTACACCTGTCTGAGAGTTCTTTTATATCAGAAATGAACGTTGAATTTCGTCAAATGTCTTTCTGCATCTATTGAGATGGTCATATGTTTTGTCGTTTATTCCATTAATGTGGTGTATCACATTTATAGATTTGCATACGTTGAACCATCCTTGCAACCCTGGGTTAAATCCAGGGATGCAAGGATGGTCAAGGGCTATCATCCTTTTAATGTGCTATTGAATATGGTTTGCTGGTATTTTATTGAGGATTTTTGCATCTATAATAATCAATCAGGAATATTGGCCTGTAGTTTTCTTTTCTTGTGGTGTCTTTGTCTAGATTTGGTATTAGGTAATGCTGGTTTCATAAAATAAGTATGGAAGTCTTCCTTATTCCTTTACCTGTTTGTTTATTTATTTTGGAAGAGTTTAAGAAGGATTGGAATAATGTTTGGTAGAATTCAGCTGTGAAGCCATCTGGTCTTGGGCTTTTCTTTGTTGCCAAGCTTTTAGTTACTTATTTAATCTCCTTACTTGTTAGTAATCTTTTCAGGCTTCCTATTTCCTCTTGATTCGGTGTTGGCAGCTTATGTATTTCTAGGAATTTATCTACTTCTAGGTTATCCAATTTGTTGGTGCATACATGATCGTAATAGTCCCTTATGATTTTTAAAAAAATTTCTGAAGCATACATTGTAATGTATCTTCCTTCCGAGTTGATTTGAGCCTTCTTTCTTTGTTTCTTATTTAGTCTAGCGAAGGTTTTTGTCTATCTTTTCAATAAATCAACTCTTCAGTTTGAAGATTTGTTTCTATTCTCAATTTGATTTATTTCTGCTCTAATCTTTATTTCCTTCCTTATGCTAACTTTGGGCTTAATTTATTCTTTCTAGTTCCCTGATGTATAAGTTTATGTTGTTTATTTGAGATCTTTGTCTTTTTTAATGTAGGCAATTTATCTATTACATAGAACCAAAGATGTGTATTTAGTTCTTGGCAATTTTATCACATATATTGATTCATATAACCACAACTGTAATCATGATGCAGACCTGTTTCATCAACACAAAGATTACTTGTGCTACCTTTTTATAGTCACACCCACCTTCCTGCCTACACCTCTTCCCTTCCGTAACACCTGGCAGCCATGAATATGTTCTTCACCTATATAATTTTGTTACTTTTAGAATTTTGTATAAATAGAATCACACAGTACGTGACCTTTGAGGATGGTTTCTTTCACTCAGCATCATGCTCTTGCTATCTATCCAGGCTGTTGGGTATATTGACAGTTTTTTTTTATTGCTGAGTAGTATTCCATGATACACCACAGCTTGTTTAACCATTTATAGATTGTAGGACATTTTGATTGTGTCCAGTTTCTGGCTATTACAAATAAACCTGCTATGAACAAACAGGTACAAGTTTTTGTGTGGACAAAAACCACATTTTAAAAATGTGTTCATCCATTGACGAGCACTTTAGTTGTTTCCATATCTTGGCTATTGCTGCAATAAACACAGGAGTGCAGATATCTTTTCAACATCCTGACTTCATTCCCTTTGGGTGTATAACCAGAAGTGAGATTGTTGGATTTTCTTACTCCACTTGTGTTGCTATAAAGGAGTACCCGAGACTGAGTAATTTATAAAGAAAGGGGATTTATTTGGCTCACAGTTTTGCAGGCTGTATTTCTCTGAGATAAATGCCCAGGAATATGATTGCTGCATAAATGGTAAGTATATGCTTAATGTTTTAAGAAGCTGCCAAACTATTTTTCACAATGGCTGTGCCATTTTGCCTTCTTACCAGTAATGTAAGAGATATCCAGTTGCAGTGCTGAATTTGGTTGTTGGTATTGACACCATATATTTTTTTTGTTATTGTCTCTATTCGTTTTTCATATTGTTACTATTTTGTAATTTAACTCTCCTAATAGATTGTATATTAGGTTTAAAATATCCCTTCAAGAATGATAGTTACACAAAGCTATTGCTCCAGGCTTTCCTGAAACGGAGATGCTAGTTTAGGCTCAATTGTACTCCACAACAATAAAACTCATATTTTAAATAAAGTTTAAGCCATCCTGCCCATCCCCCAATTGCTGCTACATTGCGTTAGCATCTTCATTCTCAAATCTTTTTGGGAAATTTCAGTGACTAGAATAAGGATACGACACCCTTGATACTTTAGAGTTCTGAGTTTTCATCAATATGTGGGTGGCATTTTCCTATTAATTTCAAATTTGACTTCAGATTTCCTAGTTCAACTACTGATCCATGGTCCCATTTGAACATGTCATTTAAAAATGATTGCATTATGAAATGATATAAGAATAATGAAACCTAGACTATAAGATGCCAGCAACCCATTGTGGCCAGATGTTGAAATAAGCCTATTTTTCATGTTTTGTAAATAAAATATTTAATGAAGTGCGTTTTTGTTAGGACTTTGAATAATTTGTACAAGAAACTTTTTTTGTTTCTAAAAGAAAAGATGATAAGTTTACTTTCAAAAATCTAGGTCTGCATTTTTCTGTGACCTCTGTGGAAATTCCATCCTACTGTTTTTTCAGTCTGGTGGCCTGGCCTAGCCGTGTGCACAGCAATGTCACTGTCATTTGTGCATTCTGCAATCTTGGCACATTCTCTGATCACTGGCTCTAATCCTAGTTCTAACTATACTGTTAATACAACTGAGCTCCAGGAAACACAAAAGTATTTATTTTGTCTACATATCAAAAAGGTTTAAGAAAACTCCAGTTGAAATAATGGATTGACCATACACCTTTATCTTTTTTCTTCTCATTTCAAAACAACTAATGAAATAATTTAAAAAATGAATAAAATAGTCATGAACTCACAAGGACAAAACTTTAATGATAGTTTCTTTTGCTGTGCAGAAGCTCTTAAGTTTAATTAGATCCCATTTGTATATTTTGGCTTTTGTTGCCATTGCTTTTGGTATTTTAGTCATGAAGTCCTTGCCTATGCCTATGTCCTGAATGATATTGCTTAAGTTTTCTTCTAGGGTTTTTGTGGTGTTAGGTCTTATGTTTAAATCTGTAATCCATCCGGGGTTAATTTTCGTGTAAGGTGTAAGGATGGGATCCAGCCTTGCATCCCAGGGATGAGGCTGACTTGATCATGATGGATAAGCTTTTTGATGTGCTGTTGGATTTGGTTTGCCAGTATTTTATTGAGTATTTTTGCATCAGTGTTCATCATGGATATTGGCTTTTTGAAGACTGTCCTTTCCCTATTGTGTGTTCTTGACATCTTTGTCAAAAATCAATTGACTGGGGCCAGGTGCGGTGACTCATGCCTGTAATCCTGCCACTTTGGGAGGCCAAGGCAAGAGGATCACTTGAGCTCAGGTGTTTGAAACCAGCCTGGACAACATAGCTGGACCTCATCTCTATTTAGGGACAAAAAAACCCACAGAGATAATATAGGGAAAAGAAAAAACTTCCAAAATAACTACCATCCCAATTCTAATAAATATTCTCAGAGGGCTATAAGAAAGTATTACATCTATAAAATAAGAGCAAGATGTATAATGAGCTTGTGGAAATAAAAATGATAGCCAAATTTTAAAAATGGGTGGAAGACAAAGTCAAGGAAATATGATATAAAGCAGAAAAAAGATAAAGAGTTGAAAAATATAAGAATAATGAGGAGAGACATAGAGAATACAACCTAGAAATTCCGCATCTGAATAAGAAGATTCCAGAGAGGAGATAATGAAGAAAGAACTTAAAAAAAAAAAAAAAAAAAAAAA